GGTATACGTCTCATTAATAGGTGAATTCAGAATTTGAAGATGACAGACGTATATATTATTGCTTTTAAAGAAAAAATATAAAATCTTGTAGTGATAATTAAAAGATAACTAATTATTTTATCACAAAAAATATCATAAGTTTACATGTTTTGACTACTATTCTGCTTAACCAACTTTCAATCAGTGCACCACTCAATTTCTTTTAATCATGAATATCTTTAGATAATACTGAATATATTTTAAGAACTATACAAATAACATATTGAATTTAGTCGGATGATCACAGATCGACAATATAATATGCATGGCTTTTGAAAGAGCTCAGAGAGATAGCTAAGTACTGTGAGTCTGTGACACTAAATATAAAGGAGTGTCTATCTTTGCATGTGCATGGGCAGACTATTGTATGGAACATGTTCATTGGCTTCTACTGATTTCTCAATTTTCATATCAAATTATCTGATCCCATATCATAAAGAATGTTTCAGCACTACCAATAATTAACTACTAAACAAAATACTATACCTGAATCTGAATGAATGAGTAATTAATTAAGAAATTATTACATTGTATTCTGTGTCTAAATAATTCTCCCTATCTTTTTAAAAATATCCTGTACTTATATTCTTTAGGTCTCATTTTAAATATTACTACTATATATTTCCATCAAATAATTTCATGTAATCGTCTGAGTATTAATCCCCATGCATATATTAACTTGAGGAAAAAAAACATTAATTTTGCATAACAAAGAAAATATTCAGCTAGTAATTAAGAAGAAACATTATTATTTTTATATAATTCAATCAACATTATTAGTAGTCTTCATTATCTCTCTCGATTTTTCCATATATTGGTCTTTGATGGAGCAAAGAAACTGACCACACATGATCAACTCTCAACTATTTATTTTAACAATGTATTTTTATTTTTCAGGCCAATTAAAAAAGGCATAATACATATATTGGACCCTAAACTTGGCTTCAAATTTTAACTTTGACCTCCAACTTTCATAGTGCACAAACAAGCACTTTAACTATCCAATCTTTTAATAAATAAACACGCGAATCCTACTTGGTAAAACGCGTGATGTGCACGTATTCTGCGCGAGTGAGGAGTAATTTTTGAGTCCCACAACAGTAAAAACCTCCCTTTTCCGGCCAGCAAACACCACTTGAAACCACCCAAAACCTCCATTCATTTTCTTCTTCTTCTCTCCGCTCACGCCACCACCAGCAAGCTGGCATCAACCTCAAACAACCAGCAGCTCCCAACTCCAAACACCTCCAACCCAGCCATTCTCCTTCTTCCTCCACACCGGAGCACAACCCATGAAGCAAACGAGCTTCGAGCTCGCTAAACCCACCAAATACCTGACCCCAAACCCATCAGATCCGCCATCTCCGGCGACCAAATGACCCCCCAAACCCCATGAAAACAGACCCAACAACTACAAATACCTAAACCAAGAAGCCAGCCATCAACAAACCTCTAAGCTCTAAAAACCATTAGGAGGAATTAATTTTGATTCTTGTATATAAATTAAAATTAATTTTGATTTTTTTAGTTCTAAAATAGACGTGTAAAATATTTAATTAGTTGGCAGCTATTGAGTGGCTCACTAATACACGTGGAAGGTTTGCATTTCACGCTCTTTGACTCCAAAAATCGTGTGTTTATTTATTTAAAGGTAGGATAGTTAAAGTGCCTATTTGTGCACTATGAAAGTTGGAGGTCAAAGTTAAAATTTGAAGTCAAGTTTAGGGTTCAATATATGTATTATGCCATTAAAAAAACAAGGCTATAGAACTTCATTATTTTAGCCCAATAAAATTAGTTTTGTTAAAAATAATGAAGTACCAACTATGAATTCTATTCAGATGCAATGACTTTATTTTAATTATGTATTCTCATTTCCAGCCGAAATCAATTTTAAAAAATTGAATTTTATTATTTTTAGTCTCATAAAGAAAGATTAAACCTAAATAATGAAATTGCAATTGTGTACTTTTTTAGTTCTTGGTTAGATTCAAATCTTCAATTACTATTCGTTTAACTGTTATTATTTTTTAAGGCCTAACTATAAATATAAAGAAAATGATTAGAGCTCATTTATATTTAGTAAAATAAAAAGTTTTAGCAAAATAACAAATTTGTTTCAACAGTATAATTCTTAATTATATTTTTTAATTAGGTGTAATGACTATCAATTTCAACGATATATCTTTATATTTTTCAAGTAAATTCTTGTTAAATAATGGCGACAATTTTATTATTTTTACCATAATAATTTTTATTGCTTAAAAAGTTTTGTTCTAACAAAGTTTTTTTTACTGATTTGGCCCGAAAACAAAATATAAAATTAATTTTAAAAGTAGAATAAAATATTTTTATTTTATAAAATTCCCTGTGGACAAAAAAATATGTGGCAGGATACTATCTTAGGATGAGATGGTGAGGGGAGATAAGGACCATCAAATAGCCAAGTTTGGGGATGTGGTAATTAAGACTACTAATAGTTTTTTTTTTTTAGGTATCATCTCGCTCTTATGTAAAATTAGATATTTCTTAATATTGATCTAATATGACATGTTGACACCCATTTTTTTCTATAAAAAGATTGAATGTTGAATTATTTACTCAAAGAAATAGTCAAATAGAGGTTGATTACGTAGTACTTTCCCCCCCTCTTTTCTTTAGTATGAACTCATGCATGTTTTAGAAATTTTAGATACGCTACTATGGAAGACGAATTTCTTGCATATAGATGATGCATATGCTTATGCGATTGGCAAAATATATGTCAACTTAGATGATGTGTGATGTTAAATATATCAATTTAGAAAGATACATGTAGTGTGTGACATGGTTCATGAGGGAGGCTAGAGCCGTGATTCATGAGCTACCTAATACTGACAAGTATAAAATAGAGAACAAAACAATATGCTCAACTACTTCTATAGCGTTACGTATTAAAAAAAATAAAAAACAGAAAACGTCATGATTCTTCACATACTGCTTACTTTTTCTTGCATAATCATCACATACATATCAACCTGTGTGTTTGTAGGCGTGGCTGGAATTAGGCACTACATGCAATAATAGCAAATATAGCACGGGAAACTTACCATAATGTATGGTTTGACGTAACTTTTTTATCAAGATCGAAATGTACATAATAAACACTCATAATGTATATTAGGTGTATAGTATATGTAGACATTTAAATATACATAAACTTTATATTTGTTGGCTATTTTGTAAACTATATCACCAAAAGTCATTGGACTGTAATTATTCCTGATTTATTAATGTCTAGAACTAAATAAATGTTGTTGACATTTCTGGAATTTGATGCATTCCATCAAAAAGGTTGGATTTGGAAATTTTAAAGGGCTTTTGTGTGAATGGTACTTTCGGCTTAAGATATTAACAAACATTCAGCCCATAAAAAGAATCTTGGGCCAGTGAACCATTTGGGCCGAAGAAGTATAGTCTAGTACAGGCACTACTCCGCCCGAAGCAAAGGGAAAATGGCAGGAGTTGCATCCCCTAGCCAATTTTAATTTATATGTATTATTTAAGCTATATTCATTTTGGAAGCTATTTAAGTTGTAGTCAGTATTGACGAACGTTAAGGGGTCGTTTGGTTGGGACAAGATATCCCAAAATTAATTATCCTAGGATAACTTATCCCATCACTATGGTATAAATCGTGAGATAAGTTATCCAAACACACTACAACAAAAATAACTTTTTGCGGCAATAAATATTGACATTAATAATTAGTGATAAAGTCTTTACCGGCATTAGTTAAGTGTCATTACAACCAATGTCGCTAAAGGATTTAGGGACATATGTAAAGAGTGCTAATTGTCGCTAAAAATACATATTTAGCGGCAATTAAGAATTAATTACCACTAATGATATTTTTGATGTAGTGACATGGCAACCAAATAGGACACCAAATTTGTATCCTAGCACTATATTTTTTTATCCCAAGACTATTTATTCTTATCCCTCACACCAAACGACCCATAAACGTTGTTGCTCCTCTACATTATCCTCACTCTTTTGCGTTGTCATCAAGAATTACAAGCTTTGCTAAAGATGTTGAGTTTATTATCATCAAATATTGCTAACGATGAACTCAAATACTGACAGATAAAAGTGAAGAATATGTTCAAAATTATTCCGCTTATAATACTACTTGATTTATAGAAATATTGTGATAATCAAAATAAAACTTGAGATGTGGGCTAGTGTCAAATTCATAATCTAATGTATAAAGTTACGCTTTGAATATCCAAAGTTATATTTTTCAGAATCTAACTACAAACCATAATAACAGTCCTCAAAATAATTATATATGTATTTTCCCCCAAAAAACGTGCCTAACATGCAGAAGCTATAATTGTTTTCTACCAAGCGATTGAAATTTGTTGAGACTAATATTAAAGGAGTGAATAAAATTTGTTTTAATCAATACCAATATTTAAATGATAGCACTGAAAAATCGTTCTTCTTGTTTCTCTAGTAATCATCATGTGATTAAACTAACATGTCTATAGATTCTCAATCCAATATGTTGGGAAAGTCATGACTGATGAAGTAATTGCTATCATGAAAGCTTTTGAATGTGCTATCAGCAAGGGATAGAAGAGAGTAAAGATTTTATCTATGGCTAAAAATATTGATAATGATTCAAAAACAAGTGAAAACTTCATAAGAGATGATAAAAATCAGCAATGTGTGAAAAATATTTGGAACCTCTTTCGTTGAATCATGTCAAATTTATATATATTCCTATATGTTTGAACACATTATTGGATAATTAGTTAGATTTTCTCACTATTTATTGCAAGAAAATTCTTGATAGGAGGTGCTTTCACAAATTGGATCATACAAGATGCTAAAAATACGTTGATACAATAATACAAGGTGTTAGGTTTCGAAGAGGAAAAAAAGCACAGGACAAATGTCAACTAGGTGATAACATATAGACAAAAATATTTTAACTTAAAGCCGGGTAAAACATAATACATATAACATCATAAAATACTTTTCAAACAACAGCAACTTGCACATGGCTTAGCAGCAAGATACTGCAATATAGCCAGACATGATTTGCTAGTACCATCTCATAAGATATGATGATGAAATTAAATAAGCTAAGGTCCACACACTTGTAAAATATCATAAAAAAAAATTACTAGTAGTAATAATTAAGGGCACTTGGTCTTGTTGCCATGGGTAGTCATTTCAGTGTAACATTTGCCACACATCTCTCTGTTCCCAAAGGTCCCTGGTGGCACACATTTGCATCTAACACAACATGTTCCACATGCCCTAAAACACAAATTGGGCCTTGAGTGTAAACTGCATCTGTATTTGCACAAACCTCCACAGTCCAATGGACTTGGAGGTGGAGCTGGTGCAGGAGCTAGAGCAATATCCCCATTGTTCAAGTATTTTGCAACCTTTAAAACTGCAACAACAATAATAAATATGAATATTTATGGGTAACGTTAAATGACCAAAAAAATTGATCAAATAATTAAAAAGTCTATAATATCTTTTTTTATTTTAAAATAAACTATACTTTTTTCCATGATTTTATAATTAAAATCTATTTAAATTATAAAGGTAACAATGTTCAAAAAAGTAAAATAAAATAGTGTGAAATATATTATTTTACTATTTTGACCAAATTTTCTGGCCAAAAGAATTTTTTCAATATTTATAAATAACTGTCTAATTAAGGTAGTCAACGAAAAACTACATGTGCAAGATATAAACCTTATGTCATCATATTGTACCACAACTAAAAAAAATAATTGAGTACTTCAAGTAAATATAAAATCAAGGTGTGTATCTAAAAAGACATGATCACTAATGACTTGACTAGTCACTCTCATAGCTGTTCTTTTTCAGCGACTGATATATTTATCGGATAATATCAAGCTTAGGTGTACACTTGTTAATATAGCACACATCCTAAAAGAAAAAAAATATTTGGAGTTTTATATTTAAAAATTTAAATTTGAATACAATTAGATGTGAACACTCTTTTGAAGTAATTTAATGATAAAAGATAAAACTGAATAAAATTAATAATTTGTTTATTAATTTATATAACTCACTTTTTTTTTTATAAATTGTCTTAAAATGAATGTCAACTTTGTATATATAAAAATAATTTAACTTTAAAATTCTTAATTTATCCTTAATAAAATGAATAATAACATCACAAATAGTTTAAGGGTGCTTTAGAGCACTTTTTTTCTTAAACATTTTGCTGAATCATATAAAGTAAAATAAAATAAACTTTTCTTTATGTGCTAAATGGTCTTCCAGAAAAAACAGCTATTTGTAGTAGAGGAACCCAGTAAATAAAACAAGGAACATACGCAGAGCTACAATTTTTAATAAGGGATTTCAAAATCAGAAGTAAATCACGAACTAGTTGAAGGAGATTCAATACCTACTATATATGCATAAAAAATAATGTTAACTATGTATAAATAGTAATATTTTCCGTCAAAGGGGGTTCGAATGAACCCTAACTCTATGCTAGCTCCGCCCTGGGAACAGAACAATCTCTTTGTCTACATTTCTTCACCTCAATATCAAATTTAATATATACTCCCTCCCTCCATCCCATGGTACTTGTTCAAATTACAAAAAAAAATTATGTTTAAAATTACTTGTCACAAAAAAGCGGTAGTAATAAGAAACGGAGAGTATCTATAATCTAAATTACACTTGGAACTAATAAGTCACCCTCATCAGTCATCACTGCTTTACTTTGGAAGTCATAAAGTGGCAAATTGAATTTCTGTGTTGCAGATTCAATTAATGTGACAGTCAACCAAAGCACCAGAGGTGCATTTATTCAATTAATTAATAATAATTACTGCTTAAGCACGGCCACTGACTTGAAAAATGTAGCACTAGTAACAACACTGCCATGGAGTTGTTGTCATTCAATGGATAGTGTTTATAGCTCTTAATTAGTTGAAAAATAAAATTAGAATCCAGTGATAAACACATAAACAAAAGTAAAATAACATCAAAACAAGATACACACAAAACAAAAAATAAGCATTTTATAACTCACCTATGTCTTGAACTAGCCTCCTATTGGCTCCTCTGGTGAAAACCTGGAAAGGTAAAAAAAAAAAAAAAGAACAAATATTCAGATAACGAGTAAACAGTTCTCCAAAATACCATACTGAAATCATCAAAAACAACGAAGTCTAATAGATTCGACCAAATATATCTTTATCAGTCCATTCCAAAAAAGTACATCGCATAAATATTATGACATATTTAAAGTCTAAAAGCAACAGAAATAGTATGTCAACTCATACTTAAATTGAAATATAGTGAGTACTAAATGAAAAGTTGAATAGAGACGAACACGAAGTGCCTGGCTGAGACCAACATGTTGTTGTTTGTCTTCTTCAACTTCCTTGAGATCAATAATAGAACCCTGCGTGCATACATGGAATTAATAAATCACTTGTGCAGCCAGTCATACAAAATTTTCATTAACAAACTCAAAATAAAAAAAATAAAAAAAGTAAACGCATAAAGAAGCCAAATTAGTTCAACATTACTATATACTCCATAAAAAAATTTAACCATCAATTAAACTTGACTTTCTATGAAAAAAGCTACGTATTAGTTGAGTAACCATCTGATCAATAATTAGGCTAAGTTGTGTTGAGGTCGACGAAGAATGATTTTTTTACCTGTGCCTTAACAGTAGCGAAAAACAAAACCAAAAGAAGCAATACACGAAGCGCCATCGCCATGAATATTATAACCGCAGCTCCTCTTTTACACTTTGGTTAACTCTAGTTTAATGAAATTGAGCTCCATGTTTTATTTTATAGTAGAAAAATGTGATGATTCATGTATGGGCGGGGACCCTGGTTAATAGTATCTATCTGTGTGCATTACTAATACACAGCTGTTTCCTCCTCTGTACCTCTTTTCGAATTTCGAGCTACTTATAATTCCATACCTTCTAAACTTGAAGGAAAATTATAATTTAGGCCGATAGCTACTCTAAATTGATTAATGAGGATTTTGTTAGAATATTTTTAAGATAAATTTGGTCTATATTATTTTATTTTTTAAAATATTTTTATCTTTCTAACTTTAATATATTTTAATTAAAAAATAGAAAAAAGATTAGTTTATTTTAAAATAGAAAAGATATTATAGACTTTTTAATTTTCTGGTCATTTAGCATTATCTTTTTTTATATTGATATGTTAATTGTTATAGGTACACATAATAATGAAAAGTAAAAAATTATTAGGTATTTAAAATCATTTTTTAATCCAAATAATTTTGGGGGAGCGGAGGGATCAATAGTCCCCCGCCTATTTATTAATTCAGTATCCGTTCAAATTTTGTTTCAATTATTTGTTTACTTGACACCTCTAGCTACGACAATATCTTCTCTCACATTAATTAAATTAAATTTAGCTATCTAGTCATGTGATACTTGCTTCTCTTTTTATGTCACCTCTAAGTACGAATCTTTTCAATTCTTTGTAGGTGTAGAAAGCAGACATATTTTGCTATCTGTGTTTTGCTAAAATGACCTTTAAAAACATTAAATACTTTTTTTTTTTTGAAAAAAAAAAAATTGTACGAAAAAGAACATTTGCGATTTAAGAAATTTGAGAAAACATGTGTTCGTTTCAGTCACAAACTGTAGTTAAGCCTGGCTGCCTCCGCGATAAGTATTTTACATTTGGTAATTTTTTGCCCATACAATACACACCTTCTCTATTTTTCTTTTTTTAAAAAAAAAAAAACTATAACAAAAAAAACCTTATAGGTCAATTGGCTGTTAGTTGAAAAAGAGTTATTTAATATTTATGTATTAAAACTTAAATAATTTTATGTATTGTTTGGTTGGAAAAATAATTTTCACATAGAATCTAATTATAAGTTATTCAATATTTTAATTGATTTTTTTGTCTGTTCACATAAAATACAGCATTGCCAATACTAATGTTTGATAGTATATGTTTTTCTATGTATACCAAAAAAGCATTATTTGATTTATATATTATTTTATGTAAGATAAAAAATTAAATAATTCATATATAAATAGCTAAATTTTTGGTAACTTAATAAATAATGCATAATTAATCTATGCATATAACTCTAATTAGCAATCCAATGATCCTTTTAATATATTGAAAATAATTTAAAATATCTCCTATTTTCATATATTTTGCAATAAGGGTGTTTTTGTCCGAACAATCATATATACACTGCATGAGAAAACATGTGTTCTCGTGATCAAAGGAAAAAGTAAAAACGGATTTAGTCGGTTTCTATGCGTTCTTTAATTACCCAAAACAGGAAAAGTAATAACGGAAATCTTTGGGATGTCATTTCATTTTCCTTGTGATCAAAAGAAAACGTAAAAACGAAATCTCTAAGATGAGTGCCATATCAACTTGGTCAATTAGATTTTTGAAAATTCTTTTGGAATTTGAATATAAATTTTAGTTAAATTTCACAATCAGTATAAGGACATCTTTACATTATCAAATTATCTATTGCTTTCTTAAAATATAAAACTTATAATCTTAAAAGTGAAATAAACTATCTACTTTAACACTTAAACATAACATGATTATAATAAAACAATAATGAATATAACTTAAAACTCTTTTGAATAGAGTAAGATTAGGATCCCATGCAAGGCAAAAGCTAATTTTTCAAATTACATGTCTAGCAAAATTCAGTTTTCATTCATTCAAATTTTATATTTACATTAAAACAATGACAATATAAAAATAATATATTTACAATCTAATAAAAAATTAATAAATTAAAAATTGCAGGCAGCAAGCAAGTTGCAGTGAGAGTCATCATCTTTGGATCCAAAAATATCCGGTCACTTCGTCCTATTATGGGCCGTACTTTTGGGCCTTTACTTAACTTGTCTTGATATCACGTAAGGACAACAGAGATATCAATGAAAACGACAACGGAGCCCAATAAAGGTGGGTCTTTGCTTTGAAATTGGGGATCTAAAAAATGTAGCTATTCTATTTTATTTTTTTTGCTTCACACCTAGTGTACCATATTTACATTATAGTTCGATTGAATTTAAATTTATCTTAAAAAGGTCCTAAGTTTAAGAAACTTTGTATCCAAAAAATTTAAATTTGAGATCTATCAATTAAGAATATAAAAATACTTACGGCTCGATAAAAATTCTTTTATCGGTGAATGTAGGTACTCTTTTAACCCCAAAAGAGAAACAAAAGGATACAAATGTCAGATGAGATGAGATTAGGTAGAGGGTTGTCATTTCACTATCCTATCATACAGATTATTGGAGTCCAGCTGTAATTACCTGTTACGACACTCTATCGTGCATATACGGCCCACTGCTTACACACCTACTCAATTACTCTAGTTTTTTTACGGATTGTCGCTTAAATGGATTCATCTTTAATTTTGCCTAAACTTATTTGTTTGTTTGTTTAACGAAGATTGTGTTTTAATTTTCTCATGTTTGGTTAGATTAAATGTTTGTCAAATCAATTCATTTTTCTTAAATTTAAGGAAAATGACTTCTCTTTAAAACTTAAGAAAAATATTTTCCAAAACTCTCTTCTAACTTCAAATTACAATTTTCTTTTATCCAACCCCTACCTCGCCCCCCCCCCTCCCCTCACCCCCTTCAAAAAAAAATTAAGTGTGTTTTTAAAAAATATTTTCTACTTCAAATTTTTATTTTTCACCTCTACCCTCGAACCTACCTCCTGCCTGCCAGCCCCCCACCCACGAAAAAAAAATATTTTCAACTTCAAAATTTTATTTTTTCACTCCGATCCTCGACCCCCCACCTCCCCTAAAAAAAAATTTGAGTTTATTTTAAAAAATATTTTTTCAACTTTAAAATTTCATTTTTTTTTCACCCCTACCCTCGACTCCCCCACCCACCCCCCTCCACTCCACCAAAAAAAAATTAATTTTGTTTTTGAAAAATATTTTCAACTTCAAAATTTTATTTTTTTTCAACCCTACCCTCGACCCTCCCCACCCATACCCCTACCAGCCCCCACACCCCACAAAAAAAAATTAAGTCTGTTTTTTAAAAAGTATTTTCAACTTCAAATTTTTATTTTTTCACCCCTACCCTCGACCCCCGCCCCACCAGTCCCCCACCCCCACCCCCTCCCCCTCCAAAAAAAATTTATGTTTATTTTTAAAAAACTATTTTCAATTTCAAAAATTATTTTCTACTCTAGTAAAAATAAAAGATATTATGCAAAAATATTTTTTATTCATAAATCAAATACTAAAAAAAATTTTGAAAAATAATTTCTACTCACCAACCAAACATGAGAAAATAAGTCAAAAATCTACTTGTTTTCCAGGAAAATATTTTTCTTTCATACCAAACCCACCCGAAGATTTGCGGATTAAAATATGTTTTTATATATATATGTTTTAGAAACTGGAATTATGCTTTCCTTTTTTTTCCCCAAGTTTATGTCCTTCATTTTTTAAAGAGAAATAAGATTGAGTCTGTGCTTTACTTTTTGTTTTAGAAATACATTATAATATACAACAACATTTGTTATCCTTTCTATGAAACTTGGAGAATGTAATGAACCGAACACATAAACTTATGTCGTGAATAAATTATTTATTAGGATGATATTATGGACATATTTTGTTATGCCTTCAATGACGTGATTTATGAAATATTATGAAATGAAAATATATGCTTAGATATTCTGAAAGTTGTTTGTTTTTTCAATGTCAAAAAGTATTCTTGGGAACTTTTATTGTTTTACTTAAAGTGTTGCGAGCAAAAATTAAAAACCACAAATTTATTTAAAGAGTAAATTATAGAGCTTCCCTTAATAGGGACATAATGTGCGAATAACCCCCTTAAGGTTGACAAATGATCTGCAGATATAGGAGGATCATTAAATTATGACGGATGCATCATGATTTTAATTTTTTTTTTAAATCTTTATTTAGCTCTCTTTTTAATTTGTTCGTAAATCTTGCTGGATTTACATAAAAAAAAATTAATGTTCAACATCTTCATTTAGCTCTCTTTTTAAATTGTAGTAGATCTAGCTGAATTGACATAAATAATAATAATGTTCAATTGTTCACAAATTATAATATGCACGTCATAATTTTTACATTCGCATTTGTGCAAATTATTAAAACTATTCAATAAATACACCCTTTTCAATAAACACATTGTAAATTTTTATTTCTAGGTAGGAGATTACATGTAGTTGAAAATATTTCAGGATTTGAATAAAGATATTTCATTATCCATTTGATCATTTAACGTAGTTGCCACCAGTTTCTTCTAACGTAGTAGAATGAATTGGGAGAGGGGGGACCGCCTACAAAAATGTAGGTGTTTTTCCAATCGAATTGATTATAGAAACATGAGTTTAATTAGTCCTTACGTTGATATATAACTAATGAAATGCTTAGAATATCTCCATTAGCTGCTAAAAAGAACCTTGTCAGTATTGGTATAAACATGAATGCGTTTGTATCTATTTTTCTAACAAAGTATTGCTAATAGAACAAATGCTGAAGGAGATGAGGAAGAAATCACCAGCAAAGTGCTTGATTAATTTCACTATGGTATGCTCGAAATGCTTTTAAGCATATGAACAAAATTCATGTGACAAAAGCTTTTCATGTGTATTTTACATTTTCATCTTGACCTATATCTCATGAGAATGCTCTTAAAATACTTTTTTTTTAACTCTAAGATATAGTATACAAAAATGTACCATTTACCTAAAACCTGTATATCTGATCTGTTGCAAAAGAA